CTTATATTCTTGAAATAAAGGTTTCATCACTAGTAGATGATATCTCTTTGTTGGTTGATGCAAACAAAATGGATCCCAAATTGCGTTATGATGTGCAATCGATTTTTTCTTTAAAAAAAATTGAATTTTCTCTTTTTTTCGACTAATTGGATAAACAAACTTCCACTGAAGGAATAATTGAATAATGTCAAGTGGAATATAACACAACAGATTAAAAATTGAGAATTTACTAATTATGCAATCACGAATATACAAAACGATTAAAAATAGTAGGCTCAAATAGGTGTCGAAGCTCCGATGCCAAATGACACGGGGACTTCTATGATCAAAATACCCTGATCATGAATCCACATACATGTTAGCATGCAAAACTCAAATCTCTAATTAAACCCACTCTACTTAGGTAGGGATTAAAACAATAAAATAAGGATTAAAAACTATTAAAATATTAAATAGATAATTCTCTCCTCTCATGGCTAATTTAGGTAACTCTTCCCTTGAATTATATCTCCAATTTGGTGTAGACTTCTTCTTAAGGATGGGCCTTATCTGAAAAAGAAAACCATCACACAAAACACATGTGAAAAAGAAGAGGGAAGAGTGTCCCTCTCAGGTACAACTCTCCTGCACAGGCGGGAGCTTCCCCCACATGACCAAGCTCTTTCCACGTGGGAGAGAAGCCCGCAGGTACAGTTTCCCTTCCCGCACAAGCACTTGCTTGCACGTGAATAAGGGGGCTCACATGCACGACTCCTCTTAGCTGCAGGTTCCCTTAGTCACATGGCCTTAAACTCGTTTGTTCTTGGGCCACAGATCAACCTTCCTTCTTGTTAAATCATTTTCTTAAACTCGCGGGCCGCTTCAAGCCTCACTCCCACACCCTTGAGTCTTTCTTGGGCCTTAGTTAGACTGAAATTTCCTTGGGCTAGGAGGTCCTTTGTGAAGAGAACTCACTCCTTATTTGGAGTGTAAATCATAAAATTCCTTGTTGGGAAAGAAATCTTTCTTCCTTATAGAAAAAGGTCTCTATCCACAGAAGTTTCCTAATGTACCCCCGGGATGTGCTACTGTGTGCGTGTATGCCATAATAAGAAAAACGCCAATGAGAAAGTCCATGGTGGTTTTAGAGAACAATCATATGATGAATTTAGAATTTTGGAGATTTAGAACTTTAATTAATGGATCTAGTCTAGTTTTTTTTAGCCTAAACTAGTTTATGTTGTAAGAATGAAAAAAGTCACGTCAAAATGCTACATCATCTTATACATGATATTTGATGTAAATAGTGATCCAATTTAAATATCCTATGTGTTTAACTTGGAATCGTGTGACATCTTCTTTAATATTGTTAATTTACTGAAATAATTTTTTTTGAAAATATGTAGATTAAAATATTAAAAAATAATATAGAGACCAATTTAAGTGTTTTAAAATAATTAAAGATTAAATTAATAATATTTTGGCCAAAAAATAAGTATGTTTGAGTGAATTTTTACTTCTTTTTTTGCTTCAAAAAGCAAAAACCTATTAAGAACCAAAAGACAATACTTTTTCATAAAACTATCTTTTTTTTTTTGTTAAAGATGAAATCAGAAATTGGAAGACTTTTGAGATGACTTATATCCTAAGAGATAAATAACACTTCCAATGGGTTTATTAATAATGATTAGATTTAATATTTCTAAAATAAAAATTATTATTAATAATTTTATATTTATTATAAATTATTTAAAATAACATTTAAGTTAAAATAAAATAATTATAATTTAAAATTAATATTTGTAATGAATAAAGTAATAAAATAATTAAAGTAAAATAAATATTTTTAAATAATTTAATGATTAAAATAATGTTTTAGAAATAATATTATTTAAATAACAATAATAATTAATTTTCTATCATTATATATTTTTTATTATTTTAATATGTATTATTAATTTTATAATATAATTAACAATTCATATTTTATAGTAAAATCTTTTTAGTAAATTTTACCAATCACCGTCTTTGAGTTCTACTGAAAATGATTTAAAAACTATTTTTCCCACATCAGTCACAGTACAAACAATGTGGAGATCTAAAACACCCTTACCAAAAAGAGGGTATAGTGGTAAATTAATAAACATTTTTTCTAATTCAGATCCAACGATGGAGATTTCTCTTTTTATCATACGAATGAACGGTGAAGATTCAAAGTGAAACATCACAGAAAGCACCCAAAAAAATTTCTAGGAAATTTTATTTTAAATAATCTGTTGAAAGTCGAAGTCTTTTCACAAACCCTAATATCTGCGTTTTCTGATTCTCTCTGATTTTTGTTTACTTCTTGTTGCCATGGCGCCTAAACGACCAAATCCAATGGAGGAGCCGCCAACTGCTTCTTCAACAGAAGACGAAGAGGAGAAGGAAGAAGAATCCTCTGAGGGAGAGGAAGAAGAAGAGGACGAGGATGAAGATGAGCCCGGAAAGGCAAGCAAACCAGATGTAAACTCCCCTGCCGCTGCCACAGCTGGCAAGAAGACACAGTCGTCGGAATCCGAGTCCGGTACGGATTCTGAATCGGAGACGGATTCCGACTCCGAGATGCGCCCCCAAGTTGCAAACTCGAATGTGAAACCTATCGCGACTAAGCCCATGGACGAGACCCCCAAAAGCAAAAAACTGCGGTCCAAGCCTGCGGCGTCTCCGGCAAAATCGGCGATGAAGCGGGCGAGCGAGACCGCGCAAGATTCGAAGGAAGCAAAGCGGGCAAAAAAGGAGCAAGAGGGGAAATCCGATGTTGTTCCCGATAAAGAAGGGAAGAAATCCGGGGAGGAGGTGAAGAAGCAGCTATTCCAAAGGGTGTGGAGCGAGGACGACGAAATTGTTGTTTTGAAGGGCATGCTCGAGTATATGTCGAAGAAAGGAACAAATCCGGTTTCTGATATGGATGCTTTCCATGATTTCATCAAGAAGTCCCTTCATTGTGATTTTTCTAAATCTCAGTTGATGGATAAAATTCGAAGATTGAGGAATAAGTACTCTAAGAATCGCAAGTTCTCAAAGCCCCACGAGCAGAAAGCTTCGGATTTGTCCAGGAAGATTTGGGGCAGTGAAGGAAACGGTGGTGCTATTGAATCTACAATTAAGTCTAATGGGAAGAAGAATCAGAAAGGAAACGTAAAAGCGTTGACTACTTTAAAAGCGGACTTGTTCCCCCGTGACGACAAGGAGGGAGAAAAAGAGGGAAAGAAGAAGATAGTGAGTGATGAGAATAACATTTTCTCTCTCTGCGCCAGTGAGATTACTGGGTTTGATAAGATATTGGGTCTGCCTGCATTGGATGAGCGTGTTGTAATGGAAGGGTTGAATTTGCTTGACCCAGTCAAGAAGGCAGAGTTTGAGGGAAAGTGGAAGAAATATCGTATTGCACAAATGGAGCTTTTTTTGCAAAGAACTGATTTGATTCAGGAGCAAGCAAAGCTTATGTTGGAAGCATACAAGACTGATAGTTAGTGCTGTGGTTATTTTGTTTGTTGTTCATAGAAATGGATGTTCTGTGTTAGTTGGTCTATCTAGGATTTGCTAATTATGGTGTATTTGAGCCTTTTTTTTGGGTAGATTAATGTTATTATCCCGTGGGTCTAGGGTGGAGAACTTATGGGGTTCTTTATGATTTTAAATTAAAATGTTGTCTTAGCTTTTTATATTTCTATGCTTAGATTTTCTTGTGATTTTGTTGCATCATCCAATGAAATTGGTGATTTCCGATACCTTTTGTTTATTTGATTGCTTTCTGAAGGTCAGGACGCCATGGATATGCTTTAATTTTTACTCCTTTAGGTTCAAAAGGGGAAGAAGAGAAAACAAAGGTTGAAGATCCTCCGTTGCAGGTTAACAATGACAGGAGATCACCATTAGTCCATCTTGAGTGGAAGAGCTATCCAGGTTTTGATTCCTTAGACCTTTATGTATGTGCATTTTAATGTCTCTGTATATTAATGTATCCGGGATTATGTCCTATGATGTGAATACTAAAGTACTGTTTCTGCCTTTTGATGTTTCTTGGTGAAAAGATGGATATGAAATTTATGGGTGCTATCTACTTAGAGCTTAGCAGCTTATGTTTGTCTTTGAAATGCTCTGTTGGGTTCTCTGTTAGCTTTTGTCTTCTTTGAAAGAGAAGTGGATAGTGGGAGTTGTCATTTTAACAAAGCACATAATATAATGTAGATACTAATTAAATATGATCAGTGATCATCAGTTACTCTTCGACTTAGTTTGACAAAGAACTTGAAGCTGAAGATTTTTTGATTTTCTGAGTAAAACCAGTGTCATGTCAAAAATGACTTAGTTTGTTGAGTCTGCTTATATATGCTTTCCGTGTGTCACATGATATCTTTGATCTATCTATCAGTTTATTGATGAGTTAAAGAAATTTCTCAAGGGGATACCATAAATTAATGTCAAGAAATTGCAAAGAAAAATGATTGAAATGATTGCAAGCATGATTCGGATGTGAGTATAGGTGGTTGAGTCGAGCATTTGCTTTCCATGGATTCCATTGGTTTCCAGAGTATGTGGTTTCTCACAGTATGACCTGGTATGGTGATTGTTATCATTGATGGAGTATGTCGTTATTCTGAATATGTGGTTTCTCTGTGTGACCTGGTGTGTGATCTAAGCTGAAATCTGCTGATTTAAGTCACCATGACTTAAAGATTCATGTTTATTAAAATGCAGGTTTTGAGATATAAATGATTTACAGTTTGAATTCTTAGAGGATGTAGTTTTGAATTGTTTGTTGCATCATTGTTTAGGATTTTCGGCTGATGCACTTGCAGGAATGTACAAGTTGGGGCTCAACACTTTTGAGGTAAATGCAGGGCATTTTGAACTCGCAAAAGAAACCATTGAGATTAGTGCGAGTGATTAAGAACAGGGGTATCTATTAATGTGTCAAATCTAGCTCTAGAATTTGAACAAATGTGTTCATCAAATTTTTGTGGAATGCGATGCAGCACATCATATCTTACCAGACATCAGGTTAAAACTGTTCTACATGCAATGGGTTATGTAATCTTCAAGAGCACATCCTACAACACACTACTTTGGCAACCTCTCAGTATATATAGAAATTTAATACATGAAATCACATCCTGTATCATACCCATTGAATTAAGTAACTTTTTGTTGTGCTCAGGGATCTGATATGTGGAATCGCATCCTACGTCATGTCATGTCGACTACATTATATACCTCTTAGTGTGCTCAGAGGTATGCATATTCACATTTTTAGCTACCTATTTATATGAAAAAGATGTAATGCATAGGATCACATTTTGCTACACATTACTGTTAAAAAAAATTGTTTTGCCTAAAAACTTTCATTCACTTTGATATTCCTTCCAAATTTATTTTTCAAATAAATTTAAATTTAAATATATTTATATAATGACTCAAACATACTTTTATATTTAGGAGAAATAAAAAAAATCAAATTTTTATATTTTCTTGAAAAATTTATTTTTCAAACGAATTGACTCTTTACTTTAAATCAAGAAAATCTTGTCCAATGAAAAACATTTTTCAAAGCAAGTTAATAGTAAAATTTAAGTAAATATATATTGAGCTTTCAAAAATGTAAGTACTTAATTGCATGGAAGATAAACAAGAAAAAAGAAAACAACTACTCTTCAATCTTCAAACTTCAATTATTATTTTTTTTTTCTACGTCCGTTAATCTTGTGATCTTTAGCATACCATTCCACTTTCTTGATATGTACCATACTTGCTAACTCAAAAATTTAATTAACAATCATTAATGTAAAATCAATGAAAATAGCATAATGATTTTTCCATTTTTGATAGATAACAAAATTTAACTTTATTTTTCTTTAAAACTTAATCAAAAGTATGTATGAAGTATAGAAATGTCAAATATCTCCCCCTTACTACGTACTTCCTATTTTCCCATTTTAATTTATATTGAAAGATTAGTTCATGTAGTAATTTATTCTTGTTGAAATTTAAATTGCAATCACATGCACATCAAAATTTAATCCTCAATACATGTCAACTATTTCCCATCAATCAAAAAGGCAAAAGAGGGTGTTTTAATCACATGAATTAGTTTCAAGAACCAAGTATAAAAAGAAATATTTCTAACACAAACAATAAATTTTAGTTTTAAATGATTTTCATTTATCCACATGCCTTTTAAAATTGAAACAGAGAATATTATCAATCTTAAAAAATATTCAATAAGTCCATATCAAAAGAAAGTATGATATCATATGATCTATCAATCACCATTTACATTAAGAGAGATTAATCAACTAACTCAATTGTACATATTCTCCCTCTTAATATATACATCATTTATTACATAACCTATCTATAAAATTATGCAAATTGAACACAAAAACTTCAATCACATTCGAGATCTAAAATATATTTGTTGACATCAATTTTGTTTGGATACTGATTGCTTTAATTAATAAAGCAATCATAATTTAAGAGTTTATAAGAATCATTCAAAAGATAATAGATATTCATTATGCTCACTAATCTTCATTAATTTTTCCTTTCTCTTGGATACCAAGTGTTATATCTATTCTCAATTATTCTTCCTTTTTAGTCAAATATGCCAATTATTATGTGGAAAGGTCTGTTACATCTACCATTTCAGTATATGAGCTATTGATTATATATATGTTCGGCCGATCAACTCCTGATATCAACTCCCATGTATAATTTATTCCTACATAATTTATTCTTCCTCTATATAGTTGATAAATATTCTCCCATTTTTTTAATCAAAGAGGGTTAAGAGAGTTTCCATTAATCATATGTGTGGGGATATAAATTTCAACTTTCAAGAGGAAGATTCTCTACATCATGAAGATGGATGCTTAAAGCAACCCATAAAGTAAATTCATAGGGAGGATTGCAATACATGATATGAATAATCCAAAAGAGATTATTCCAGATAAGCAGGATAAGCATAGTAGTTCCTCAAACCCATTGTTATTAAAAGACATCTAAGTATCCAAAGTACATTAGTCCAAAATATGCAAGTTTAGTTTTTGCAAAAACAAAATGTTTATACAAGTACTCAATTTTTCACAACAAAATTAAGCATTCTGTTTATAAAATCAACACTCTTGTTAATAATTCCAAACAATTTCACAAGACGAACTTCAAAAAACTTGATTCGAACTTTTTAGCACTATAATTTTTACTTTCACATATTTTACTTATTTTTTTTTCACTTTCTTAGAGATTTTTTTATTTAAATTCCTGTAAAGCATAATGCTTTTTATTTTAACAATCTTCTAACTCTTTCTTAAATTTTTTCAAAATATTTTAATTTAAATTCATTATTCTAGATCTTATACGAAACCTAAGATCAACAATGCAATAAAAGATTCTGCATATAACATCAATATGCAAAATCTTAAATTCCTAAGCAAATCCTCCCTAGTTGCTTTGTACTCAACCTATGAATGCAAACCAAGATAACTGAGAAATAAATTAGAATAGAAAAGATGTCATAACTAACCCGATAAATCGATTCAATTCCTTTACTCAAAAAGACAGTTGAAGTAATATCACTTGATTGAACTCTCATTCACAATTAGCAATAGCTAAAAACAAACAAATTTTATAATTTTATTGATGTAAAAATTGGTTAATTATAACCTAATAGTGTGGCCTTTATATAGTCATACTAAATTAATTCTAATTGAAGACAAACACTAAAGTTCTAATTAAACTCTTAGATTATCTGAATCAAGACTCAATTAAAATAATAATTAAATAAAAAAATTAAAATAGGATTGCATCTCCTCTCTCTTGGCCAAATCTTTGAGTCCCGTCAGGTCTAAAGTGCCTTGATTCTTCTTGAATTGTTTCCTTTAATCAATTAATTTCTTGAAGAATTTGAGTTGAAGATGATTGAAGGTTATGTGTAACACCCTGCTCACCATTGTGCTTAATTTGTATTTGGAAAACCCTAATTATTCGAGTCTTAAGGCCACATTGAACTCATTTATTTTATTTCGCAGCTTATTATTATAATTCGTAAATTATGCCGATTTTTGTTTATTTTATTTTTATTTAATTTTATCTAAATTTATTTTGATTTAATTGTTTAATCGTCATTTTTTTAAATAAACGATTTTTAGGAAAAATAAAAAATAGGGGGGAAAAATCTCGCTTGCCCGCGCGGGCACCTGTGCACACAGGCGCACGTCCCATCGCGTGTGGCACATAGGAGAGGCTTGCGCATGCGTCTTGTCACGCGCAGCAGGACCCATCCGCGTGTGCGACACATCGCGTGCAGACAGGTAGCACCGCACATTGTGCGTGCGTCGTCGCGCAGCAAGCCAGTGCGAAAGCCTGCACGCTTGGGTCCTGCGCGTAGTGGCCCAGTGGGCCT